TGACAGCTGCCTCCCTCTCCTGTCAGCATGTGACTGGCTCTTTTTTGAGGGATGTGTGTGTGTGTGTGTGTGTATGTAAACTGGGATGGGGGAGATCTAGAAAGAGTGGGCTGGCAGGTGGAAGGAAGCTCCTACTCACGTGTAAGTCCTAAGCCAGCCCAGAAGTAGGAAGGATTCAGTATTTCTTCAATGTGAACAGCAGCAGTGCACAAACCAGTAAGAACAGCTGGGATGAAGGCTGCTTTGAAGGTACCTGGAGGGCTTCAAGGGAAGGGGGAGGGGGAGGGAGATTGTCTCCCTTTTCTTTATGCGAGACTTGTCAGGGTTGGAAAGGGGGGTGTTAAGTTGGACTTTATGGAAAGGTGGAGTTGGGAGCAAAAGGGTTACATGGATTGGAATGTGCTAAAACAAATTAACTAGATGGCAAGAGGGAAGTTTGGTATGAAGTTGGGAAAGGGGGGGAGTTAGGCGGAACAGAGGTTGGCTATTTCCGCCTCTTTTTTGGGGGGGGGGGGAGTTAGGAAGAATGAAGGTTGCCAATTTCCTCCTCGCCCCTTTTGATGGCTTTTGGGAAGGGTGGTGGAGGAAGAAGTGACCTATTTCCTCTCCTTTTTTTGGAGAGAGAGGGAGTAGGAAGAACAAGTGCTGCTGATTTCCTTTCCATTTTTGATTGCTTTTTTGAGGGAGGGGCTTCCTATATGGCAAGAAGTTTTGTACAAAGTGGTCTGGGAGATGTTAGAAAGAATTAAGGTTGCCAATTTCCTTCCCCTTTTTGAGGAATTTGGGAGGGGAGCAGGAATTAAGAAGAATGTATTTATTTATTGTTGTTGTTGAAGGCTTTCATGGCTGGAATCACTGGGTTGCTATGAGTTTTCCGAGCTGTATAGCCATGTTCCTGAAGCATTCTCTCCTGACGTTTCACCCACATTTATGGCAGGCATCCTCAGAGGTTGAGAGGTCTGTTGGAAACTAGGCAAGTGAGGTTTATATATCCGTGGAATGTCCAGGGCGGGAGAAAGAATTCTTGTCTGCTTGAAGCAAGAATGAATGTTGTAATTGGCCACCTTGATTAGCATTGAATAGCCTTGCAGATTCAAAGCCTGGCTGCTTCCTGCCTGGGGGAATCCTTTGTTGGGAGGTGATTAGCTGGCCCTGATTGTTTCTTGTCTGGAATTCCCCTGTTTTTTGAATGTTGTTCAAGATAATAAATATTTATTTATTATCTTGATTTATATCCTGACTTTCTCCCTGTGGGGACTCAAGGTGGTTCAGATTCCACATGAGGCAAGTTTAAAAGGTGCAATACGAAAGTTAAAAAGAAATTAACAAGGAGCAGTGTGGTAAAAACAAAACTGAAATACAGTAGATATGCTAAAATGCCATTTAAAACTCACAGGAAGGTTTCCCTTTTTGATGGCTTTTGACAGGAGGAATAAGTTACCAATTTCCTCTCTCTTGGGGTGGGGGGGGGGCTAGGAGAAGAGAGGGCTGCTAATTTCCTCTCTCTTTATTGAGGGGAGGTAGATAGAAGAAATTAATGTCAACTTCTTCCCTCTTTTTGAGGGGAGGGGGTATTAAGAATAAGCAACACATCTTTGGCAGGCATCCTCAGAGGTTGTGAGGTCTGTTGGAAACTAGGCAAGTAAGGTTTATATAATAATGATGATAATAATAATAATAATAATAATGAAAGTTTATTTATAGAGCACCCTCTCTCCCCAAGGGGACTCAGGACAGTTTACAAACAACAAAGGTAAACATTCAATGCCTGAACTCAAATACAAATAAAATAAAGAGGATAATACAAAAATAATAACCATAAAATTGTGACAAAAAGGAAATTAACATCAAAACGAGGGGCAAATACGAATAACTGAATAAACCTAATTATACTAATGACATAAATTAACCATTGAAAAATAAAGCCTAGAAAATACAACTAAAAACATTAAAATGACTATCAAGGTTGTTCTTCTCATGTACCATAGCAGCAGTGGGATACAAATAGGTTAGCCAGCATTCCTGTGGAACTGAAATGCCCTAATCCTCCTCCTCTCCATACATCAAAGTGCACAAGTGCGTTTTTAAGAGCCCTTTAAAGGAGAGGGGGGTAGGTATCATTTTTATTTCTTTGGGAAAGGAGTTCCAGAGATGGGGAGCGATCGCAGAGAAAGCCCCCCCTCTCATTCTCACCAGCCACACTTGTGATGATATCTGTGGAATGGAAAGGAAAAAAAACCATGAAAATGAACAAAATCTGGATACCAGTATTTAAAAAACTTTTAAATCAGGGCAGTAAATGAAGAGCATACTCCAAAAAACAGGGGAATTCAAGATAGGAAACAATCAGGGCCAGCTAATCACCTCAAAACAAAGAAGTCTCCCAGGCAGGAAGCAGCCAGGCTTTGAAGCTGCAAGGCTATTCAATGCCAATCAATCTGACTAATTTCAACATTCACACCTGTCTCAGGCAGACAAGAGTTTTTTCTTCCACCCTGGACATTTCAAAAATATATAAACCCCACTTGACTACTTTCCAACAGACCCCTCAACCTCTGAGGACGCCTGTCATAGATGTGGGTGAAATGGGAGGAAAGAATGCTTCTGGAATATGGCCATACAGCCCAGAATGATGGAATCATTGAGTTGGAAGAGACCTCGTAGGCCATCCAGTCCAACCACCTGCCAAGAAGCAGGAAAATTGCATTCAAAGTACCCCCGAGAGATAGCCATCCAGCCTCTGTTTAAAAGCCTCCAAAGATGGCACTTCCACTACACTCCATGGCAGAGAGTTCCACTGCTGAACAACTCTCAGGCTTGGGAAGTTCTTCCTCGTATTCAGGTGGAATCTCCTTTCCTGTAGTTCTGAGTCCTAGTCTCCAGGGCACAAGCAGAAAACAAGCTTGTTCGCTTCTCCCTATGACTTCCCCTCACATACTTATACATGGCCCTCATCATGTCTCCTTTCAGCCTCCTCTTCTGTAGGCTAAACATGCCCAGCTCCTTAAGCCTCTCCTCAAAGGGCTTGTTCTCCAGATCCTTGATCATTTTAGCCATCCTCCTCTGGATACATTCCAGCTTGTGAACATCTCCCTTCAATTGTGGTGCCCAGAATTGGATACAGCATTCCAGGTGTGGTCTGACCAAGGCAGAAGAAGGGGTAGTATGACTTCTCTGGATCCAGACCAGGCATGGGCAAACTGACCTTCCAGGTGTTTTGGACTTCAACTCCCACAATTCCTAACAGGCTGTGGGAGTTGAAGTCCAAAACACCTGGAGGGCCGAAGTTTGCCCATGCCTGAACTAGACACTATACTCCTATTTATGCAGGCCAAAATCCCATTGGCTTTATTAGCTGCCACTCTTTTTGTCTAATTCTATTACCATTTTATCATTTTTATTATGATTTTTAAAACTTCATTACTATGTTATTATTAAGTATTTTATTTGATTTTATTGTTTTGTTTATATGTATTTTGCTTTATTGTAATTTGTCTGAGCTTGACCTCATGTTAGCTGCCCCAAGTCCCTTCAGAGAGATGGTGGCGGGGTATATTATTATTATTATTATTATTTGAAACACAACAAGATGAGTCCACAGCAGACACTCGGTTGGCTGTTGAATTGGAACACACATTGGACACTTCCCAAGTGTCTAGGACTGTGTGATGTATCTGTGAATAATGCGTGCAGAACCCAGTAAGGTGGCCTTTTGCAGCTGGTAGATGGTAATTTTGTCAACGCCAATTGTGTTTAAGTGCAGGCCAAAGTCTTTAGGCACTGCACCCAGTGTGCCGATCACCACTGGGGCCACCTTTACTGACTTGTGCCAGGGTCTTTGCAGTTTGATCATTAAACCCTCATATTGTGTCAGCTTTTCCAGTTGTTTCTCTGCAATCCTGCTGTCACCTGGGATTGCAACATTGACGATCCATATTTTGTTTTTTAACACGATTGTGAGGTCAGGAGTATTATGCTCCAAAACTCACTCTGTCTGAATCCGGAAGTCCCAGAGGAATTTGGCGTGTTCATTCTCTGTAACTCTGGATTGTGATCCCACCAGTTCTTTGTTGCAGGCAGATGGTATTTGTGGCACAAATGGAACTCTCTGCCCTGGAGTGTAGTGGAAATGCCATCTTTGGAGGCTTTTAAACAGAGGCTGGATGGCTATCTGTCGGGGGTACTTTGATGAATCATCTGAGCAATGGTGTTATGCCTCTGCTTGTAGTCTGTCTGCGTGATCTTCTTGCAGCAGCTGAGGATGTGATCCATTGTTTCATCTGCTTCCTTGCAGAGTCAACATTTGGGATCTGTTGTCGACTTTTCAATTCTGGCTTTGATGGCATTGGTTCGAGTAGCTTGTTCTTGGGCTGCCAGAATCAGGTCTCCTTTTCAGAGTTCCATTTGTGAGCCACAGCCATGTTTTTTGTCTATTATTATTATTATTATTATTATTATTATTATTATTGCTATTATTATTGGCTCTTGTTTAAGTTGTTGTCTCTAAGCAACCCAGTGATTCCGACCATGAAAGCTTTCGATAGCCTTTATATTCTCACTTTTGAGGGCATTTTTTTGGGCGGGGGGGGGGGGAGAGGGGCTAGGAGGAGTGAGGCTTCCCAACCCCTCTCTTTCTTTTTGTGAGGGCTTTTGAGTCTCTCCCTTTGGCAAGGAGAAGTGCCAACAGGTGTGGCATCCCCACCTGGGCCTTTTATAGTTCAGCAGCGGCACCAAAGCCGGGTCCGAGCAAGGGCTGGGCAGTTCCTCGTTTCCTCGGGCCCCTTCCAAGCCGATGTTGAAGAAAGCGGCTCCCATAGAGCACCCAATGGGGATGCCGCACACCCGGCAGAGCAGAGATGCCTATGAGAAGGGCTCCCTCGTAGCCCGGCCGCCTCCGCAGCCTGAAGCGGTCAGTGCAGACGGGGCCGCCCCAGGGGAACCGGGCCTCCGCTGCTGTCGCCCCGCCCTCCTTGGGCGCCGGAGAGGCTCCTGTTGCTGCTGCTGCTGCTGCTGCTGCTGCTGCTCTGGGAGGCTTTCACGCCCTTCCTCTGCCTCGCTCGGCTTCTCTCAGCCAGAGAGCCAGCCCGTCCTCCCTCATCCGCTGCAGCCGAGGCGGCCTGCCTGCCTCGCTTCTCCTCCTCCTCCTCCTCCTCCTCCTCCACGCCTGGAGGCGGCCTTCCTTCTCCGCCTCCTCTCTCCCCGCACATTCCCACAGACAACGAGGACCCTTGGAGGGGAGCTCGGCCTCGGCGGACAACTAACTTTGCTGCGGGCCGGCTCCTCCTCACTCTGCCCCTCTTTCTCTCCCTCTTTCTCTCTCTTTCTCCGATTCCCGGGGCGGAGGGAAGTTGTCCATGAGCGCCCCGCCGGTCATCCGGCCGCCCAGCCCCTCTCCGCCGGGCTCAGGCGGCAGCGTCGGAGGAGGAGGAGGCGGCATCTCTTTCCACCTCCAGATCGGCCTCAGCCGGGAGCCCGTGCTCTTGTTCCAGGACTCTTCGGGGGAGTTCAGCCTGGCCCACGTCCGGGAAATGGCCTGCTCCATCGTCGACCAGAAGGTAAGGCCGTCCAGGGGAAGTCTCCCCATCGAGGCCGGGAGTGCCTCTGAGCGCGTGCAGAGTGCCCGAGACGCCCTGGGTTGGAGACAACTAGGGGCCCTTCCACCCAGCCCTATAACTCACAGTATCTGCTTTGAACTCGGTCATCTGAGTCCACACTGCCTTATATCCCAGTCTTTTCCCTTCTCTACCAAAGGGTACTGGTGCCTCACCAAATTACAGTGCCAGGATTCCATGGCAGCAAAAGTGGAGTCAAACTGCATTGATTCTACAGTGTAGATGCACCTTAAGAAAGCCCTATGAGGTTTTTGTGAATTCACAAGCCACTTGGAGCCACATATAAACACAACGTAATAATACAGTTCAATCTTCTCAATTCCACCCCCCTACTCAATTTATCACTGTTTCTTTCTTCCATCTCTCTCTCTCTCTTTCCATTGCTCCTGTTGCAAAGAGTGATTAAGGATCAGGAGGAGGGGGCTCCCCAGCAGCTGTCAAAATAGTAATCCTGCCCTGCTCTCTGGGGAAAGGAAGTTTCCATTTATGCCAGCCAGAAAACAAAACAAGGCAGCCCCCTTGATAGAGGAAAACATCAGACCAGCAACAAACCTGATGCTAGTAGGGAACTGTCTGAAGAAGTCCAGTGGAAGGAATAGCTGTATGCTGAAGTGTAGAGAGTTCCTAAGTGGAACTCAGAAACTCAATTCTGCTTTTCATTTAATCAGTAGTAAGCCCCCACCAGCACAGGTTAGTTCCCATAAAAGTGTGCACAACACTATGGCCATGCTTTGCATGCCTGCACATGCCTATTCAGAAGTAAGCCTCATTGAATTCAATTGGGCAGCCTTTTGGGTTTAAAATTAGCCCAAGGGATAGCAAAGTAGTTTTAACAAAAAAGATACACAGGAGCTGTGTAGTAGTTTTTGTTGGCTAGAGTCATATTTTTAACTGCAATGAAAGAAGTGTGGCTAATCATTTGTCCAAAAAGTACATCTTTACTTTTGAAGTTATTTTTAACTCCTCTTCTTATACTTGTCCTGTATAATTTTAAGCAGTCCTTCTTTCATCACAGGCTTATTACTCCCTCCTTCTTGGTTCACAAGTAAAATTCTTAGTGAATCCAGTCATGTTTGTATTGGATATATTTAGTTGTAAACATGCAATGTATGCTTCAGCCTCATTAAGAAAAATGGGAGCCCCCAGTGATGCAATGGGTTAAACCAGCATTTCTCTCTCTTTTTTATATAATATTTATTTATTTATTTATTACTTGCACTTATTAACCGCCGCTCTCAGCCCTATGGGCGACTCGCGGCGGTGTACAAAACATAGAAAAGACAATTTACAATAGATCAAGACAGCACAACAACACTCTACTACTACACAACATCTACTTATACTAAAAATCCGCTTCGTCTTATCATGTGGTCATAATCAATCGCATAGTCGTAGTTCATTCTGGTCGTCGTTCCAATAACATAGCACTCAGTTGAAGGCCATCTCGAAGAGCCATGTTTTCAGGCCCTTACGAAAGGCCATGAGAGAGGGCGCCTGTCTAACTTCCGCAGGTAGGGAGTTCCACAGCCGTGGGGCCACCACCGAAAAGGCCCGTTCTCTCGTTCCCGCCAGACGTGCCTGTGAGGCAGGCGGGACCGAGAGAAGGGCCCCCCCGGATGATCTCAAGGTCCTTGTGGGCTCGTAGGCCGAGATGCGGTCAGAAAGGTATTTTGGGCCGGAACCGTTTAGTTTTTTATTAAGATTTTAAGAATAACATCGAAAGAGGGAGAATATTAAAAAAGATGATAGGAAAGTAGGAAAAAAGTAAAAAGTACATCCCCCTACCCCCAAGTCCACCAAAAAATACAAAAATATAAAAGACACACACACAAAAAAACCGAAAGAAAAAATAGAAAAAAATAAAATAAAAATTGACTTCCATCTCTCCATCAGGTGTTGTGTCCTCAATGATTTCTCCATTATATCCACTTCATAATGTTCCTCTTATTTATTTATTTCCTTTTCGTAGTTTTCATATAGAGTCCAATCTGTCCTCTTTATCGGGTTCCCGGTATTCTTTTTCAAGAAAAAAGTTAATTCGTCCATTTCTCTTATTTCTCTTAATTTCCCTAACCACTCTTCAGTGGTAGGGATATCTTCCTGTTTCCAAAACTTCGCCAATAATATTCTTGCCGCTGTTGTAGCATAGGTAAATAGTCTATCTTTGTTCTCATCTAATTGTAATTCCAAATCTGTAAATCCCAATAGATAATATTCTGGTTTCTTCTTAAAGACTCTCTTCAAAAAACCAGCATTTCTCAACCTGGGAGTCAGAATCCCTGGGGGGTCACTAGTGGGTGTCAGAAGGGTCACCAAAAACCATCAGAAAACACAGTATTTTCCGTTGGTCATGGGGAAGTTAGGCCCAATTATATCATTGGTGAGGTTCTGAATGTTTTTTGATTGTAGGTGAACTATAAACCCCAACAACAACAACTCCCAAATGTCAATGTCTACTTTCCCCACACTCCTCCAGTGTTCATATTTTGGCATATTGAGTATTTGTGCCAAGTTTGGTCCAGATCCATCATTGTTTGAGTCCACAGTGTTCTCCGGATGTAGGTGAACTACAACTCTAAAACTCAAGGTCTATGCCCACCAAACCCTTCCAGCTCTGTGGGAGTTCTGCGTGCCAAGTTTGGTTCAATTCCATCATTGGTGGAGTTCAGAATGCTCTTTGATTGTAGGCAAACTATAAATCCCAGCAACTACAACTCCCAAATGACAAAATCAATCCCCCCCAACCCCACCAGTATGCAAATGTGGGTGTATTTGCACCTAATTTGGTCCAGTGAATGAAAATACATCCTGCATATCGGATATTTACATTACGATTCACAACAATAGCAAAATTACAGTTATGAAGTAGCAACAAACATAATTTTATGATTGGGGGTCACCACAACATGAGGAACTGTATTAAGGGGATGCGACATTAGGAAGGTTGAGAACCACCGGGTTAAACCCTTGTGCTGGCAGAACTGAAGACCAACAGGTCGGAAGTTCGAATCAAGGAAGAGTGGGGATGAGCTCCCCATGTGGGGAAAGGAGAGAAGCCTCCCACAAGGATGGCATCAAAACATCTGAGTGTTCCCTGAGCAATGTTCTTGCAGACGGCCAATTCTTTCACACCAGAAGCGACTTACAGTTTTTCAAGTTGCTCCTGACACGGAAAAAAATTAAGAAAAATGAGGCCAGTAATAACTAAAAGCATATATTTATTTGTTTTATCAGATTACACCGACCTTGGAAAAGTTAAGTGTTTTGATTGCAGTTTCTAAAATGCCTGGGCCTCTGGAAGATGTAGTCTAAAAAGTAACTTTTCCATGGCCTGCTAAGTTGATCCTATGCTGCTTTGCCAAATGCAGCATTCATTATTCAGGCAGCTGTAAAATCAAAATTATGTTTTCAACATAAAAACAGATTGAAAACACACACATAAAACCCAAATTTAAAAAAAACACATGTAATTATGCCAATAAAAAGATACAACATCATTTATCCAGTTAATGCTCCCTTCTGTTTATGTTGTTTGGTTGGTCATCTTTTGCTGATAATTTGTGGTGGTTTATATTCCATCTCCTAAAGAGTGCTTTACAACTGGTTTCTAGGCGGTCTGTCATCCAGAGCCAGATCCTTTTTTGTTTAGACAATAAAACAAGATAGTTGTGTTCTCAGCTCATTTGGTTGGCAGACTTGCCTCTTTACCCTCTGAAAGCGATGACATCTGGCGGTCACACAGGAAGCACAGCTGCCTCCTAAAAGTGTGAAAAGAGCCTTACAGGCCCACTGCTTGCTTGTTGTGGCATCAACATCTTAAGAAACAGTTTTTCCTAGGAACATGAAATGGACTGAAAAGGTGGCAACGGGTGATATATATACTTTTGACAAGGAAATATTGGCAGCTATTTCAAGTAGATTCATTGAAATGAATGGAACTTGCTCACTAAACTCACAAGCCATCATTCATTTGTCATATGAGTCAATTTCTTTCTGACTGAACCTTTGTCTCCCAGCTTTTCTTATGGCTAGGCAGATCATAACAATGCCAAAGCAGTACAATCCTGGTCTTCTTTTTAAGTTTCTTGTTCAGGTTTGATTGACTGTGGCTCTTCAGATGCTGTATACCTAGCTGGTAGTGAGGAATACTGGGGATTGCAGTCCAATAAGATCTTTTTAGCTCCCAACAGGACTGCAAGTCATGGTGTCAAAAGTAATCAAGCCTTCTGTTCTTCAAACAAAGGAACGGATAATTTAGTACAGCCTTCTCCAACATGGTGCATTCCAGACATGTTGGACTATGACTTATTCCATGCCATCAATCACCAGGGTTGACTGTTACTTTTATGTTGTCACAGTATATGTTAGCACATTTTGTGAGGATGATCGGAGTTGTAATCAAATACATCGGGTGTGTGAATTCAAAGACTTAACTGCGTTAATTTAAATCAGTATACAAAGGAATCTAAAATACCTTTGAGACGGAGAAATGTGTGTATCTGATTAAGTAGATGCATGTCAACAAAAGCTTATGATACCAACTTCTCTCTCAAGAGTGCTACAAGATCCCTTTGTATACATCAAGAGTGCGTGTGAGAGAAAGAGAGAGACAGTCAGAGAGAGAGTCAGGTTCTAGAGCAGTAGTGCTCAACCTGTGGGTCCCCAGGTGTTTTGGCCTACAACTCCCAGAAGTCCCAAGCAGTTTACCAGCTGTTAAGATTTCTGGAAGTTGAAGGTCAAAATATCTGGGGACCCACAAGTTGAGAACCACTGTTCTAGAGGGCTGGCATGCTTCATTCATACTCCTGTGGGTTATGGGTCTTTAACAAAGAATACCATTTACAAGAAAACAAGAAAAAAGTATCTAACTTTCTATATCCTCTAAGATCTTGGTGCAAAATATGTGAAAAATTACATGTTGGATTCAGTACTTAGGCAATATT